TACCAACAATTGTTACTTTGTTGGAATTTACAGGTTGAGGAAGATTTGCAAATTTTAATAATCTGCTAGTATAAACAGCATTTGGGTGAGTTGTTACAGTAATTGTTGATGGATTAGATATATTGTAACTGTTTTATTTATTTTCTAACTTATCTTTTACATTTAAATATGTATATTATAAATAACTTTTAAATAAATCTTTATGTGCCTAATTATATTATCAACTAAAAAATCTAATGAATTTTCATTTACTTGTTATAAAACTGGATATTTTTATAATCTATTATGCAGCATAAAGATTGAATAACTTTAGATACTATTGTAATGTAATGTTACTATTTCAGATAGTTCGCTGAAAAATTTAATGAGGGACCTAAACCTTTATAAATAGATTTAGAAATTACAAAAATATCAAGATTTAGGATTTTTAAAATAAAATCATTATAATTGTTCTGTTATTGGCTGAAAATAACTACGAGTCAATGAAATTCAAATTGAATTGAATCATTTATATGATCTCATAATATAGTTTAATAGAATTTGTTATTGCATGTAAATTTTAAATCCATATATGTGAAAATTTAAATTAACCAATTGAAAAGTCTATATTTTAATTATAAATGTTAACTTCACATACAACGATACCCGTTTGTTAAATAAACTTTATAAATAATATTAAAGTAATGGGATATTAATCAACCAATATACAATATCTTTTGTATTATGATTTTTATATTTCACTCTTTACATTGGACAATAGTTCAACTGTAATAAATAGTTCTTTAATCCTAAAATAAATTAAAAATTAAAAAGATTTTTTTTAAAATTATAAGAAAAATGACCATATTTGTATAGTTAATTAATTGTTTGTCTTCATACTCTTTTCCTGTTAAAGCTTTTTGGAAGCAAATTATATCTCCATTTTGTATTTCAGATTGACAAAATGTTGATTCTGGATTCATTTCTATTATCATATTTGGTTTAATTTCCTAATAATTATTAGTAATAGTAA